AAAGAGTAAAAGATCAGAAACAGTGTCATATATACAGTATGTACCATACGAGTTGAGAGATTAAATTAGTAAAAAACAGGGCTTTATGTAGTTAATTTACTTATGTTTAATCTTTTTCCCCTTCTGTTTTTCTTGTTCATACTAAGTATTATTAATCAGTGTTTCCAAAATTTAAATATTTAGTACCCAATTTTATTTTTCAGACCTGTTTATTTTTACAGCTTTTATTTAAAATGTATCTAAGGTTTATTGTCAAAAGGTTAAAGAAATAAACGATCTTATAACACAGAAACAAATAAAAAAAAATGTTTTAATTTCTCAGTTGGCAAGCAGCTAGTGGCTGATGAAGTTGTGTTAGCATTTCATTTGTTTGTGTTTTTTGTTTATTTGTTAGTTTTTGTTCAGTAGAGGTTAAAACTTCAATAGCTCACAACAATAGCTTCAACATTCCCATTTCAATGCCAAACCTTCCATCATAGCTTTGACTATTAATACAACAATGTTCTGTATCCAATAGTCAATGATTATAGTATAAAAAGCTTAAACATTTTACTTGAAACTAAAATATTATTTACAAGTGGATTTAGAAATGATGGACCAAATACTTTAAAATGAACTACTTTAAAATTAAAATTATTGCTGCATTTTACAAATATTGAATGTGTACATTTTAAAACATGTTGGTTAAACATTAACGGTTGGGAAAAACCTTTGAAAGGTGCAAGTTACTTCAAGAACTTTTATTGTAACTTAATTGTTAAAAATATAATTCTCTTGCTCTTGAATACTTGTGAGAGCCCTAACTAATTTGCCAGAATAAGAAGGTATAAATAATTAAAGAGGTATTTTTGGTGCTTATAAATTAAGTACCCATTAAGTACTTAATTACTTAGTAAGTAGTAACTTTTACGGTTTTACTGTGGTTGTATTTTTATCAAGTACAAAAATAGCATTTATTTATTGTTACATACAGACTACAAAGTCTTAATCTTGCACAAAAACTAAATTTATAACTGTATTTGTACATTTAATTGTGGTGTATATTGTAATTATGATTTTTTACTTAGACATTAACAGTCATTAACGAAAACCGGATGTAATAGTCACGGTTGTATATTTGATCTTGTCAAGGTGTTTTAGTCGTAATATTAAGGTTGTGCAGTTACGCTTGATATAAAATTATGATGTACAGTTGTGAATAATGCAATAGTGTAGGTCTATATTAGTAACATTTGGTGCTACGATATTGTTAAATGTTAATTACCGTACGTATGGATAGGCTTCATAATAAGGTGTGGTGTGTGTTTTGTAACTTGTTAATTCATTACGTAACGGTGTATTGTAGATTGTAGTGTAATGTAGGCCAACCACATGCCTTTGAGTTTCATTTTATTAATTTTGCAAATGTATAATGAAAACTTGAAACATTATTGAACAAATTATTCCCAATATAACATCTTGATTAAAACTACAAATAGAAATTAAAATTTAAGGTGAAATAGACAATTCTGTTAGTTACTTTAATAATATCACAATTTGAAAAAAGAGCTCAAAACCCCAATTTGAAATGAGTAAAAATAATCTTACCTGGACCCTTGGTTTTCTGCTCCCTCAAAAGGACCTAGGTTAGGTTATAAAAAATATTTTCTAAAAAAATAGAAAAATATCTTATTTGATGTCAACATTATACAATATTTTAGTAGTCATGATTAAAATGTGAGTCACAAACACTTTTCCTCACAACTGTTGTCAAACCGATTTCCCAACAAAATCATTCTACTGATTTGTCAAAAGAAACAGCCTATAAGTAGTTGGCACTAAGTTATTAGTGAAAACCAATAGGGCATGACCTCGTAATATTACAAGGTTAAAAAGGTTCGAGTGGTTATACTTGAAATCTGAAGGTCGCTAATTTGATACCAAGCGAGATCAGTAACGGACCCAGATGCCAGCTATCGACTAATGATGACATATCTAACCATAGGTCGACGTTAGTAACGAGAACTATACCAAGGTTTGGACTCTTTCCTTACCAACAGTTTTTTTAAATGCCATTGATGTAGATGAACACCAAAATAAAAATAAAATGAAAACCTTACTACCTTAAGGAACATAGATTTTTTTGTACATCATTGACACCAGGGATCGATTTTAGCTGAATTGAATGAAGGGTGAGTATAGAATGGGTTGAGATGATTTGTGTAGCTTTGTTACCAAATTATATCAGCTATTTCCTTAGTGAGGACTATATTTGACTAAAACACAAAAATCAAGGACAGCTTTGATCAGCTACCAACCATTTAAAAGTTACTGACTTCTCAGCATCAATTCCGCACCCTTTTGATTGCCAAGCGAGCACTATAACCACTCAGCTATCTTGATGCTTAGATCTGTGAATCCTTAAGGTGAGAAAAATATCTCCCATGGTATTCCTCAAAACACAGAGATAGGGCTGTAAAAATATTTAACCAATAGTTTCCTCAGGGATGAAAAAATATATTGTGTAATTCATTCTAAAACACAAGTGTGTGTTTAGATTCATGTAAGATCTTAATACATCCTACATAATTTACATAACATTGAAAATAATGACCACCTGTTAAGGGTTCATAATAAGATTTTCTCAGATGAACTCTTTATCAAAATGGTCCATGGGGTTAGTGATCGTTAAATAAATCTCAAATTATTTATAGTAGGAATGGACAGGATTGTATTTTTAGTTCGGAACAGGATGATATTTTTATTTTCCTTCCCGATTCAAGGGGCAGGTTTTATTCCCAGTGCAAGATAGGGTTTGTTTAAAAATCTTGAGTAAATATTCTTGCAGACAGCAATAATGAAAAAAAAAAACAATTTACACTCATCTAAATAAAACTGTAATGGATAAAAATACACAAGTACCAAAAAGTGCTAACTAAAATGTATTTCTTGTTTGGTTCAATTTAACATTGAATCTCCTGCAATCACAGAGACATCATCATCATGTCATGGATTAACGAAACCATCCTGAAAATATTTCACAATCGAGGAGACATCACCATTGTCACCCACCATACTGGAGATATCTCCCGCGATCGCGGAAACGTCATCATTGTTATTTGCAGCATGGTGATAGCGCTGATGATCAGAACAAATTCCGTTCCGATAGTCGGAAATATAATTTTCTTGAAATTCCGGGACTCTGCAATAGCAATATTTTTAAGTTACTTTCTGGGATTGTAGGAGTATAATTTTTATTTTATATTGTAATTTTTTAAATAAAATGACAAGTATAATCATGCGCCACACCAAAGGTTTCTGACTTTATTAGTTTTAAATATTACTTAACAATAGTATAAAAATAACCAAATATTACATAAAATAAGTAATTAACTTAAGTGAGTTCATAATTATGTAAGTTTAAATAATAAACTACACACATTAAAATCACCAAAGAATGTTTTTTATTTGAATCATAAGAAACCCACCAATTCGGTGTTGGTTTGCATTTTGTGATTAACTGGGTTTGGTTTTTTTATAATTTGTTCTGCATGAGTTAATAAAAATCATTGACTACATAAAATAATGATTAAACATAAACCATTAATATTTGTCTACAGCTTTTAATTTTCTAATAGTAACATTTTTGTATGTTAACCCTAATGATACTTATATCTATAAATCATGTAAAATAATAGTTCTTACTCCTTTAGAAAGTGTTTTTATTTTCTCTTAAGTCCATAGAGTTAGTCATCTCCTGAATATGAAATTTTGGACCATATAGCAATCAACATTGTGAATATCATGATAAAGTACAATAGAATCTGACAAGCAAGCAATCATTATGAAATACAGTTTCAAATGGTGGTTTCATTAGGTCATTGAGTTAACATGGCAATTTTCTGTGATTGTTTTTTGTGAGTGTCATAGTTATGATTAGTATGCTTTGCTGCTTTTGCAGTGTGTTGTTTATTGTGTACTAATGTTTCCGAGTTTAACCCTTTGAGGTCGAATTTTGTTCCCCATTTTTCAGCGAGTATAGTTTGCCATTCCAGTAGTCCGAAAAATGGTGTTCGGCGACTTGTACTTGCCATTTGACCGCAAAGATCAACTTTTTTTATTTTTGATAATTTTTTTTGGGGGGGAATGAGTATAGGTAGCTATTTTTAGCAGTCGGGAAAATGGCAGGCGGTGACCTATACTCGCCATTCAACCTCAAAGGGTTAAGCTTTAGCAATGTATTCCATCCTTAATGTCCAGAATTAAGTGTTATTTTAACTTGTATCAATATTTTGAAATTGTTAGAAGGGTTTTAATATTGTTATTTACTGTTAAAGAAAACAGACACTTAATACAGATGTAGAAAACAGGTAGCTTTATTATTTTTTAATAAAATTGTGTGAGTTAAAAGAGTTTACAAGTTTCTCCAATAATTATAAGCATTTCAATTGCACTGTATGATAAAAACAAACAAGTTAATTGAACTTAATCTCTGATTAACTTTGCGTTTTTACTTTTCAAACTAGACATAATACTTTCTATTAACTCTAATCAATCAATAACTTCATTTGGTGTGATAATCTAATTCATCTATATTTTACCTAATAAGTTCTAACATAAACACATTTACTAGATTTTCATAACTTGTCTTTTCCGGTTAATTCCATCTTCCTTCTTTACCCACCAACTTTAACCATTCCACTTTTTACCCATGTTTTCCCCTTTAATTATTCATTATTTATCACCTAAATTCCTTAGCTCCCAATACATCTCCTTACACCTCATTGTATAATCTAGTATTTCTAGATTATTGCTATTAACTTATTTTTTTATTTTTTTCTATTCACTAACTTCTCCCCTCGACTCCTTCATAGATTGTTCACCTCATTCTTTTTTCCTTTTTACCTCATCCTTTGTCCTCTCTAACATAACCCCTCTCACTTTACATTTCTCTCTGACTTGCCTCATCTGATGTCGTGTGGTGTGTGTAACGCTTCTAATGCTACTAATGTGCGGGGCAGGGAGCAGGGGCTAGATGTGAGTCCGCCGTCGTCACCACCGCCTTACCGCAGAGCTACGAGCAGAGATGAGAACGTGTTCTCACGCCTCACTTCCAGCACGATGCAGAGTAATGACACGCAGATGGGCAACGGAATCATCACCACCTACCAGGGCAAGGTAGGTAAAACCATGGTAATGGCTGTTTCTTAGTAGTTAAAATCAATCAAATTGATTGATCAGTTGGTGTTGAGCATTGACTATTGTGGTGGACTGGATTGTCGGCAGGCTTATGGGGATTGATTGATTGATTGATTGTGTGAGGGTGGACTCAAGGTCCAAGCACGTCAACCGAAGCTTATTGTGTGCATCCCACTTGCCACTAACTGGGTAAGCCTATACCTGTGTCCCTAACTAGGTGCAGGAGCTTTTGCCCAATGTTAGCGTCTGGTTCATCACCTGGCTGCTTTAGACCAAACAGAGCCCTTCTCCTAGCCCGTAGTCCATCGCAGTCCAGAATGATGTGTTTAGCAGTCTCATCGGACTGATTACAAAGTCGACACTCCTGCTTGTCAATGACAATTCCTAGAGTGTGGAGATGTTTCCTGAAATGGCCGTGTCCAGTGATAAGAGCAAGTACCTGCTTGACCTGCCCTCTCCCCAGCTTTAGCAGCCAGCGAGTGAAGGGGGTGCTAGGTTCTGAGAGCAGTTTTTTGCCAAGTGATTGTCCAGGATAATTACGCCAACGCTCAAGGTGTTGTCCCCTGGACCATTTGTTTATTACATGTTTAGCGGCCGCTTTGCTGATGCCACAAAATGGCTCTGGTCCAAAGAGTGGCATGCTCGCACCTTTTTTTGCCAGCTTGTCTGCACTCTCGTTGCCGCCAATGCCTACATGGCCTGGGACCCAGCCGAGAGTTAAAGAGTTCTGTGATGCAAGTCTGCAGAGGGTGTTGAAACACTCCCAGACCAGTTTTGAGGTGACTTCATTTGAGTCAAGAGCTTTGAGAGCAGCCTTACAATCAGATAAAATCACTATCCTTTTGTCTTGGTACCGTCTGGCTAGTCCTAGATTGGCACAAGCCAAGATGCCATAGATTTCTGCCTGGAAGATGGTACAGTATTGTCCCAGACTTCCTGATAGTTCTGTTCTGGGTGATCGACAGTAAACCCCAAAACCAGATTTTCCATCGATTAGGGAGCCGTCTGTGTACCAGACGAAGCTCTCCATATCTTGGAGGTGCCCTTCCTGATGTTTCCACTCATCTCTGGAGCGGAATTCAACATAAAAGGGTTTGGTGAAAACTGCTTCCTTGCTTAGGAAGTCCGAGGTCATGTCAAGCACAGGACACTCAGCCAAAGTCTTAGCAATGGCGCAGTGGCCTGCCCCTGACAGGCCTTCCCTCCACAGATTTGAAACCCTCAGACGGTAAGCCGCCTTGAGGGCCTCAGATCTGATGAAGATATCCAGTGGTAGCAGCCCAAGAGCGACTTCTAGAGTAGCTGATGGACTGCTCCTGAAGGCTCCAGTGGCCTGTAGCGTGCCGAGCCTTTGCATGCTTTCTAGCTTGGCTATGACAGTTATCTGATTCACCTTTGTCCACCAGACTAGTGAACCATAGGTAATCTGAGGCCTGACCACAGCCTCGTATAGCCAGAGTGCTATGTGGGGTTTAATTCCCCAGGTGGTTCCTGCAAACCTCCTGGACGTCATGAGCGCCCATTTGGCCTTATGCAGCGCGTTATTCAGGTGTGTTCCACGTCAGCTTGGAGTCAAGTGTCAGTCCTAAATACTTGACCGTACTCGACACTCCCAGCTGAGTAGTGCCAATTTTCAGCCTGGAAAGAGAATCCAAGTTCTTTTTCCTGGTGAAAGGAACCACGACTGTCTTAGAAGGATTAATGTTGAGTCCCTCTCTGAGACACCATTGTTTAACACATTGTAGGTTGCCGTTCATGACGTCAGCTACAATGTTTGTGAATTTTCCTTGTACCATGAGGACTATGTCATCTGCATAGCCCTGGACAAAGATGCCCTTGCTGGTGAGTTCAGTTAAAAGACCGTCCACCACAAGGTTCCACAGTAGGGGTGAAAGTACACCTCCCTGTGGACATCCTTTTGTGGGTGCGATCACAATTTTTTTACCAAGAAAGTCGGCTACGGTGCGTCTTGAGTTAAGCATAGACTCTGTCCATCTACACAGAGATTGCTCGAGTCCACGCTCACAAACTCCCCGCACCATTGCTACATGTATGTTACATTGTCGAAAGCTCCTTCAATGTCCATGAAGGTGCATAGGGCTATTTCCTTAGCAGCCAGGCTGTCCTCAATTCTGCTGACCAACTCGTGCAGAGCGGTTTCGCAGGACTTGCCTGGCTGGTAGGCGTGTTGATTGCGATGAAGAGGTGTGTTGAGAAGTACACCCTTTCTTATGTGCCTCTCCACCAGCCTTTCCAAGGTCTTGAGGAGAAATGAGGAAAGACTGATAGGACGGAATGATTTAGCATCAGAGTAGTCTGCTTTTCCTCTTTTGGGAATGAAGATGCTGAGACGCCAGGCCTGAGGGATGTACCCGTAGGCCAAGCTAGCTCGGAAGAGTTCACATAGGAGGAGCTTGAGGGCATCCGGTCCTTGCTGAAGCATGGCTGGATAGATGCCATCTCCCCCAGGAGACTTAAATGGACCAAACTTATTGATTGCCCATTTAACTTTAGAGAGAGTGACAACCCTTCTGGCTGTATTCCAGCTTTCACGATCAGTTCTCGGCCAAGAACTTATATTCGTGCAACCGGACACTCCTGTGTCGTCACTCTCAAAAATGCAACCAGGGAAGTGAGTCTCAAGGAGAAGTTTGAGACTTCCTCCAACCCCAGTGGTATATTGCCCTCCTGGTACCTTAAGAGATCCCAAGAGTCCAATAGGTTTGGAAGCTAGAACCCGCTGAAGGCGGGCCGCAGCACTGAGACTGTTTACCTCCTGTGTAAACTGTCTCCATGAATTTTGTTTAGCTTTTTTTATTGCAAGGCTGTATTCTGTAAGTGCCCTTCTGTAAGGCTCTCACATACGGCTCTGTTTGCATTGGTTGAATAGTTTCCTGACACCCACCCTCATGCGAGTCAAATCCGCAGTCCACCATCTAGTGCTGGTACTGCGTTTTCTTTGTCCCAGAGGGCAGTTGTCATGGAAGCAAGTGATCATTGTGTCCTGCAAGTCGGTCGCAATTTGGTCAATGTCTGCAAAGCAGCTGACCCTCCCACTCACGGATCCCAACTGGAACTGTAGGTCAGAGTTATACTGTGACCAGTCTGTTCTCCTGGGATTACGGAAGGAGGAGGTGACAGTGTCACTTAGAATGCAGAAGCAGATGTATTTGTGGTCAGATAACGAGGCCTCCTTACTTACGTGCCAGTTTTCTATGACTCTGTGAATGCGTTCTGTACTAACAGTAATGTCTATGACCTCCTGCCTTGTTCTTGTGGCAAATGTCGGTTGGTTGCCCACATTACAGATATACAGATTGTTTGAAATTAGATATTGAAGGAGAGACTCACCTCTTGGATTGGTGTCCGAGCTTCCCCATCCGTTGGCGTGGTGTGCGTTGGCGTCACAACCTAGGAGTAGTTGTTGACCACCAGCGCTGGTTGCTTCCACCAAGAGCTCAAGCTCTCTCGATGGAGGTGGTTCCCTGGAGTCGTATGGCAGGTAAACCGAGCCTACTTTTGTGCTCCATTCCCTGCCACCATTTCTCCAAGTTATTGACACCGCAGTGAGATCTCTGGAGCAAAATTTGTTTAAGGTTAGAAAGTTCAGGCCCTTCCTCACGAGAATACATGTTCTGACATTCCTTAGGGACGTGCAGTAAACTAACTCACCCTTTGATTCTCCCAGGCCTGCAACTCTTCCTTGGTGCAGCCATGGTTCTTGAATGAGTGCCAGGTCAAATCCTTCTTTGAGGAAGAACTGGCAGAAGGCGGCAGAGGCAGCCTTGTTATGCTGTAGGTTGATCTGGAGGACCCTGAGCATTGTCCTTAACCGGAGTTGTGACAAGTGAGACCTGCCAGAAACCTAGATTGGCTCTGAAGTTGGTGGACTGCACAGCCTTGAAACAGACCTCATCCAGGAAACAGACGAATCCGTACCCTTTCGGATCTGGTTTGGCCGGCAGTATCTTCCACTCCTTGACATTGAGAGTGGGATTTTGCATAGTAAACATTTCTATGATTTTTTCTGGAGTTTTCTTCAGCAACTTTGGATGTGCTCTGAAGAATACTCTCGTGGATTTCATGATGTCCTTTCTCAGCCCTGCTTTGAGGGTGAGTTGCTCCTCTAAAGGCTTGAGAGCCGGGAACAAACCCTCCAGCCATCGCTTGGTGGCGTCGCTGAGGCAGGCAATGATGAGGGCACCTTTTTCCATATAGATTCCAGCAAACGCTGGACTTGAACCATCCTCTAAGGGCTGGAGTCTTTCCAGGATTGCTTCCTCAATTTTTTCTCCTTGCTCGTCATTTAACTTAGCCTCAGGATAGTTATCAGGGACAATGGCAATTTTGGTAGCGGTGATGTCCCTGTAGGATGCTTCATTGGGCGTTGCAGGTTCCCCTGCGTCTTTCACCCCCTCAGACCTCTGGGTAGAACACCTGGCCTTCTTTGCAGGTCCTTCTGCCGAGGGTGGAGTGACCGTTGTGCCTCTAGGGCGCTTGGTCACCCTCGTCTCGACATTTGGACCCGCAGTTGGGCCTGGTGTCCTTACCTCCTGTGGTCTTTTGGGTTTTTTCTTTTTTCCCCTGCGCCATTTTTCAGGGTCGAATTGTTCCCCTCTTTCTAGAAGTTTTGCCTTTAAGGCCTCCCTTCTTTGTGCCGTGGAGAGGTTCGGTTTCTTCATCTTAAGACGACTAAGTCGCTCAGTGGCGTCATCAAGTGTCTCAGTGGAATTTGGTGTTTTAGGACTGCTTAAAAGCTCCTCTTCTCTTTCCAGCGTAGCTGGTGTGAGCGGGGATTCGTCCATAGTGGAAGTTCCTGGTTTTGAGAGCGTTAGAGCCTCCTGTGCTCTTGGTGCACTCTTTTCAAGAGCGGGGTCTTGCTCTGAGTGAGCTGACCCCTTAGATGTGGGCGGTGCAACTTCTAGAGTTGCTCCGAGGTTTGGTTTTGGTTGAGTTTTTTTGTTTGTTTCCATGGTGTT